ATAATCTGATTTTTGTAGTATATGCACTAATTGTTCACTAGATTTTTCTAAATTACTCGATATATGCACTTATTGTTCACTAGTTTTTATTAAAATACTCATCCATAATCAGATTTTTGTAGTATATGCACTTATTGTTCACTAGTTTTCACTAAAATACTCATCTATAATCTGATTTTTGTAGTATATGCACTTATTGTTCACTAGTTTTTATTAAAATACTCGTCTATAATCTGATTTTTGTAGTATATGCACTTATTGTTCACTAGTTTTTATTAAAATACTCGTCTATAATCTGATTTTTGTAGTATATGCACTTATTGTTCACTAGTTTTTATTAAAATACTCGTCTATAATCTGATTTTTGTAGTATATGCACTTATTGTTCGCTAGTTTTCACTAAAATACTCATCCATAATCAGATTTTTATAGTAAATGCACTTAATGTTCACTAGTTTTCACTAAAATACTCATCTATAATCAGATTTTTATAGTAAATGGACTTAATGTTCAATAGTTTTTACTAAAATACTCATCTATAATCAGATTTTTATAGTAAATGGACTTAATGTTCAATAGTTTTCACTAAAATACTCATCTATAATCTGATTTTTGTATTATATGCACTTATTGTTCACTAGTTTTCACTAAAAGACTCGTCTATAATCTGATTTTTGTAGTATATGCACTTATTGTTCATTAGTTTTCACTAAAATACTCATCTATAATCTGATTTTTGTAGTATATGCACTTATTGTTCACTAGTTTTAGAATGGGACATGAAAGATCCGCAGGCAGGTTCAGAGTTTTGCAGAAGCGTAGTCTGATTTCGATGTTAATGTTCAGCTGATGTGTGTCAGTTCAGCTCTGCTTTGATGTCTCAGTCTCTGTATTATTGATGACTGGAGATCAGCCACAATCCCTGATGATCTTCCCTCTTTACAGACCGCAGCGTCTCTGCTCTTCATCACACTACATTATACGAGTTTGTCTCTCAGTATTTAATTGCTAAAACTGTTAACATTCATTCATTTTCTTGTCGGCTCAGTCCCTTTACTAATCTGGGGTCGCCACAGCGGAATGAACCGCCAACTTATCCAGCATATGTTTTACACAGCGGATGCCCTTCCAGCTGTAACCCATCTCTGGGAATCATCCACACACACTCATACACTACGGACAATTTAGCTCACCCAATTCACTTACACCACATGTGTTTGAACTCACTAACACACAGAGAACATGCAAACTCCACACAAAAATGCCAACTGACCCAACCGAGGCAACCAGTAACCTTGCTGCGATCGTACTACCTACTGCGCCACCATGCTTACCATTTAGGATGCTTTACAGTGATATATTAATGTGGATACTTTATAGATTAGTCAGTATCAAAGACAAAACTGGAACTAATCCAATAAGATCTAATAAGATTGCAGCCCAAAATAGTACAAATTAATATGTTGGGGGAAATATTGAATGAAAAAAAATATATTAAATTTAGTAAAATTGTTTTTGTAAACCTCTTTTGTTCAAATAAACCAAAATATATTGTCTATATTGATTGAGAAATAGATAAAAATATTCATTATCAAAAGGGGGTGTGCTCAATAATGCTGAGCACTGTATACTTAAACACTTAAATGATTATTGAAAGAGTTGAGATAGATTTAACACAGCTCATGCTCTTATAGTGTTCATGTCTGTGTGTGCGTGATGCTCTGGGTAATGCATTTGACTTGATGTTTGTGTTTTGTTTGGGTGTTTGGAGTGGTTGCCATGGTATTTGTGTTGGTTGTTGGGTTTGTAGGCTTGAAGATGCTTAATTGTTTACTGTGAGGATCCTGACAAAGGCTGCAGTCGTGTGTGTGCGTGCGTGCGTGCGTGCGTGCGTGTGTGTGTGTGAGAGAGAGAGAGAGTTGTGCAGGTTCAGTGTGCATTAATGCTGCTCAGATCTCCAGAGAGAAAGAAAAGAAAAGCCTCAGTATCTTCTCACTAATGATCTATCTATCTATCTATCTATCTATCTATCTATCTATCTATCTATCTATCTATCTATCTATAGTATCTGTCTATTCATCCATCCATCCTTCCATATCTCTCTGTCCGTCCATCCATCTCTCCATCTGTCTATCTATCTCTATACCTGTCCATCCATTTATCTCTCTCTATATCTCTCCATCCATCTCTCTCTATATCCCCTTATCCATCCATCTCTATATCTCTCCATCCATCCATGCATCCCACCATCCATCTCTCTATATCCCTTTATCCATCCATTTATCCGTCTATCCATCTCTAACTCTCTCCATCTGTCATCCGTCCATCACTCACTTTCTCCACTCAGTCTTATGTAGCAGAGTCAGGGTGAGGGGAGGGGCTTAAGTAAGAGACCCTGATCACATCACCTGAAAGTGAAAGTCATTTTTGAGGAGGAGCAAGTTATTTCATTGGAGGATTACGAACAATTCGTTGTTTTATTAGTTTATTTTTATTTAATGTTTATTATATACATTTTTAATAGAATTTTTCCAGGATGGTGTGTTGAGAGTGTTTTCATGTTGACTAGGTGAGCGTTAGTAAATCATGACTGCTGAATCAACACAGGCGTAATTTCTGCTCGCTCTCTCTCTCTCTCTCTCTCTCTCTCTCTCTCTCAGTATTTGTAGAAATGGGTCAGCTGGATTAATTTTCTGACTCTGGTTTTGCCTTTGAGAGCTAATGGGAGATTAGCCTGCTCTCTAGTGCAGAAAGTCTCAGGAAAATGTTCTGTTTCAATGGACTTATTAATGTTTCTGTGCTGGACACGGTCATATTATCTCATGCAATATTTATTAGATAATGATGATGGTGATGATGTAATATCACATCATGGTTTGGCTGAATTTTTGGGTTCTGGATGAGTGCAAAACATGTAAAAGGTGTTTTATTTACAGGATTAAGGAGTGAATGCAGGATGCATGTGCTGAAATATAAATATATTCAAAAGTAAAAGTCCTAATTTCATTTGCTTATAACATTGGAACAAAGAATAGAGGGTGACACAGTTGCTCAATGGTTAGTACTGTCGTCTCACAGCAAGAAGGTTGCTGGTTCGAGTCCCGGCTGGGTCAGCTGGCATTTCTGAGTGGAGTTTGCATGTTCTCCCTGGCGTGGGTTTCCTCCGGGTGCTCCGGTTTCCACCACAGTCCAAACACATGCACTATAGGGGAATTGATGAACTAAATTGGCCGTAGTGTATGAGTGTGAATAAGTGTGCATATTCCCAGTACTGGGCTGCAGGTAGAAGGGCATTCGCTGTGTAAAACATTTGCTGGATAGGTTGATGGTTCATTCCGCTGTGGTTGATAAAAATTAATAAAGGGACTAAGCCGAAAGAAAACAAATGAATAAATGAACAAAGAGTGGAGATGCACAAGTAGAAAAGGGTGTGTGTGTTTCACAGTTAAAAAGTTATGCAGAAAGGAAATATTGACCTTTTAAAATATATTCACACAGAGAACAGTCTGCTGAAATCATACAAATATTTAACAAAACTGGTTCACTATTTTCATTAAAAAATAATTATTTACCAACTGGAGTTGATAAATATGAAGTTAAAAAAAGTGAATGAATCAAATGAGATTTGACAAGATCTAAACACTCAAAATCTCATTATAAAGAATATTTGTTGTTTATTTTTAATTTGCTGAAAGAGAGCATTATTAGATTTTATATATGGGAAAGGTTGCCATCTGCTGGCAATAACAGATTATACATGCTATTTTAAGGCTATCCTCCAGTAATATACTGTACATCATTCTTTTTTTTTTCGGCTTAGTCCCTTTATTAATCCGGGGTGGCCACAGCGGAATGAACCGCCAACTTATCCAGCAAGTTTTTTACGCAGTGGATGCCCTTCCAGCCACAACCCATCTCTGGGAAACATCCACACACATTCACACACACACACAAAACGGACAATTTAGCCTACCCAATTCACCTGTACCGCATGTCTTTGGACTGTGGGGCAAACCGGAGCACCCGAATGCAGGGAGAACATGCAAACTCCACACAGAAACGCCAACTGAGCCAAGGCTCGAACCAACGACCTTCTTGCTGTGAGGCGACAGCACTACCTACTGCGCCACTGCATCGCCCTGCTGTACATCAGTAATCTTTAATTTTCCATATAAAAATACAGCATATTTCATTTTAATGTCATTTGATTAACTAAAGGGACTTTTATTTTGACATTCTCTACAATATAAATAATAATAATACAATTATTAATGAAAAAATTCATAAATTAAGATTTGAATCGTATCTACATAATGAAAACACTAAGCACATTTTTTTTGTATGGAAATCTTATTTATGTTTGGGAAAGGTTGCCATCTGCTTAGATTTAGAGGTGCTGCAGTGAATAGAAACCTGTAAATGCAGCTCTTTAATATTGTGTCATCACTACAAATAAAATTATCTCCTTTAAACTCAATGAGATGACATCTAGGTTTACTTCAAGATTATTTTGACTTACTAAAAGAAGACAAGTAGCACACCAAATTAAATGAAGCTTAAATAATAAACTCTAGTAAACCATACACCATCTTCCACGTTGAATAATTTTTACAGTACTTTTTTATTTGAATGTCTTTTTAAAGAAATGCATTTTATTTACTTCATGTGACTTTTATTTTGACATGTTATACAATTTAAAAACTAAATTAAAATGTAAAATCATCTAAATACTAAAATCCCTTTTATGGAGGGCTTTTAAACATTTATTTTTGGGAAAAGTTGAAAAAAAGTTTGGGAAAAACACCTGTACATGCAGCTCTTTAAAGGCATGGTTCACCCAAAAATGATTTACTCACTATGTATCATTGTACATTCATCTTGATATCATTAAATAAACAAACGTCTTAGACAAAACATGTATAAAAAAACAAAACATTTTAGATGACTTTTATTTTGACGTCCTCTACACATCTAATCCTCTCTCATTTTTATTGTTTCAGGAATTGGCAAGAATGTAATCTGTGACCGAACGGCGACACCACTGGACGCCTTCCGCATGATGTCAGCGGCGCAGTACTACCCCAAACTGCTGAGCATCATGGGAAACGTATTACGATTCCTGCCGGCATTCGTGCGCATGAAGGAGCTGCTGGAGGAGGGTTATATTGGCGAACTCATGGTCTGCGAGGCGCAAGTTCACAGCGGGAGCCTTTTGGGGAAAAAATACAACTGGAGCTGCGACGACCTGATGGGCGGCGGCGGACTGCATTCGGTCGGCAGCTACATCATCGATTTACTCACTTTTCTAACAGGGAGACGCGCAGCGAAAGTGCACGGATTCCTCAAAACATTCGTTAAGCAGACCGACCACATCCGAGGGATTCGGCAAATCACGAGTGACGACTTTTGCACATTTCAGATGGTGTTAGAGGGAGGTGCTTGCTGCACGGTGACGCTTAATTTTAATGTCCCTGGTGAATTTCGGCAAGAGGTCGTGGTCGTCGGAACTGCTGGAAGGTTAAAAGTTTGCGGGACGGATTTATACGGGCAAAAAAACGACGGAGAATGTGGACAGGAGCTACTATTGAAAGATAAAACTGCTATCGGGAACGCGTCTTTACCCGATAAGGCGTTTCGGGATATCCCGTCTCCGTATCTCACTGGTACAATCTGCATGGTTCAGGCTGTTCGACAGGTAGGTTTATAACAACATTTTCTTCTTCAGAAGCTTTTATCACGGTATACGGTATTATCACGATATTTACCTAAGCTGCAAAACAAGTTTATTTTATTAGGTATAATGTAGCCTCTTCACATTTCGAGGTTTCTCAGTAGCGCAAGTCATCATAGCTGGGTGAACATAGAGAGCAGTGAATGGGAGAGTACAATAAATAATTTTTTACAATCCTATTTGCTGAAATAATAAAAGAAAAACTCTGCGATGGGGTTATCAAGACTTACAGAAAGAGGAAACAATTGTGTGAGACTGATAACGGCAGCCAGAAGAGAGAATCATGTCAGATTTACTGTCCTGCCACTATACATGCTGCATTATAAACACCTAATTTGATGCCAAGATGTTATAATACACACATAAATGCATGTAAATTTTTGTAAACATTTTTAAAAATCTAAATATTAAAAACTTTTAAGGATTTAAGATGCTGATGACCATTGAACGCGTCATATCGGTCTTGTAAAAAAGGTCCATGAGGTCAAAATACCTGTGTTATTGTAAATGCATGTTCAGAGTAAACAAATGTTTCAGCCAGATTAAATTGTGAATGGATTATTAAGTAACACAAAGTCTCATTAGTAAAAGTTAGTTAATGGATTAAAATCCTCAGTAAAAAAAGTCAGATCACTGTGGTAATATTAGTTTATAAATGCAACAGAAATTATCCGTTACTAACACTATTTACTAAAACGACTTGTAATTACGACTACACTTTTAACACGCTATTAAGCATTACCTGAATTAAAATCAGCGAAGATTAACAAAAACAATTGTTGTTTTCATAGTGAGTTTAGTCAACCGAACTAATGTTAACTATTAAAACCTTTTTACAGAGAGTTAAATAAGAGATAAGGTACATCCAGGAGGTCGTTATCTCACAATAAAGTCCAACAAGTTCATTGGCAGACCGATGTGAGGCGAAGCACTTTTGTATGAGTCTGAAGGCATTACTTTGCAAAACTATCTATCCTGGATGTGCTTTATCCTGCTTATTACACAGCCAGTTGCCACAAAACATAGAACTTAGACCCAAAACTTTGTTTAAAGCTGTAATAGTTTATTAATTATTTCATTAAACACAAAGCTGACAGAGACTAAAACAGCTGATGGAGTATACACTAACCTGAGCATTATTCAGACACAAGATGGCGCCAAACAGCTAAAAAACACAAAGCTGACAGAAACTAAAACAGCTGATGGAGTATACAATAACCTGAGCATTATTCAGACATAAGATGGCGCCAAACAGCTAAAAAACACAAAGCTAAAACAGCTAATCAAGGAATAACATACACCAGAAGCGAGTATTCCAGACAGCTGTGTTATAATGTATGTTTTATAGTCACAAGTAAATGTTTCAGAATAACATTTTGACCAATTAAGTCTCCGAGCATTTGTTATGAAACCCCACTGCAAATACAATCTTAATATTCTTTAAAAGCACTCTAAAAATTGAAATAATAATAATAATTTTGAAGTGATCACGATATCAATATTATGTATGTTCAATATCACCATATATTGAATTATTGAATGTCTTCCGACAGGCGTTTCAGGATCAGGACGACCGGCGCACGTGGGATGGACGGCCACTCACGATGGCTGCGACTTTTGAAGACTGTCTATATGCGCTCTGTGTGGTCGATACGATCAAGAAGTCCAATCAGTGCGGAGAATGGCAGAATATCGAGGTCATGACGGAGGAGCCGGAGGTCAGTCCGGCGTATCTGATCAGCGAGGCCATGCGGCGCAGTCGGATGTCTCTCTACTGCTAACATGAGCGCAACCACTAATGCATGGGCACAACTGGAAAAGAGGTTACGTGTTTTCTTGAAATCGCTTCACTGGAGGCAAATGTGTTCACAACAGCATAATATTTGGTGCAATCATCATCCACAGCTTTTATTTATTTATTTATTTTTTTAAAGATTTATTTTTGGCCTTTGTTGAGAGGATAGGACAGTATTTTAAACAGTAAACGAAGGGGGAGAGAGAGGGAGTAGGCTCGGGAAATGCCCTCAAGCTGGATTCAAACTCAGGATACCCTGAAGTGCTACTGCACCATATGTCAGCGAGCTAACCCCTAGGCTATTGCGCTGACATCATCAGCTTTTTAATGGTAATCTGTTATGCATCAGACTAGAAAGACGAGAAATCAATTCTGCAGTTTTCATCAAGTGCATCACTGTTCTTTTTTTGATTTGAGTTTGAGCTTAGTTTTTAACAACAGATAGTGCTCTAGGATTTTTTTGTAAGTCTAGAGCGCCATCTTCTGTTATAAAGAGTAAATTGCAATGTATTTAAAAAATTAGCAGAATTAATTTGGTTAATTATTTAGACCACAACTCTAATTCAGACCAATGCAACAGATTTGTTTTTGCCCACTGCTTATTAATCATATCAGAGCAATTCTAGATTTAGGTTTAGCTGTCAGATTTGAAGCTTGTAAGTAATTGTGCATGGGAAAATGCAATTTAAAAACATGAGCATCTGTTTAAAAATGCATCAAAATTTGCATTAAATAAATGTGGCAGTTTTGTTTACACTGGAAGAAAAATATATTTAAAAAATATAAAATAGTTTTAACCAAGAAATGGCAAGTATTGTCAAATTAAACATGACATTTTAAAGTTTTAAAAAATACAATAGTATAAACTTTAATCATCTTTAATATATAGTATCATATTTGTTTTGTGTTATCCCAACACATCAATTAAATCAATAAAACCTTCATCATGAAAATGACTTTTCTGCAAATAAAACCAAAAAATGAGCTCGTTTTCTGTTGTTAAATCATGTGAACAGCAAATTCACCATTATTTTGATATAGTAACTCTAGTTTATAAAAATCCTTTGCTGTTAGTGTAAAATGAGCTGAATCAACACAATTCTTGAGTGTTTTTGGGACAACTTAATTGTTTTACGTTTAATCCATTTAAATGTGTAAAAACAATCAAGTTAAATTAATCTGTTTGTGTTTGGACAACATGAAGGAATTGTTTTGAACCCAGCATTTTTAACAGTGTATGGTAATGATGATCATTACACACACACAAAACATGGTTACTGCACTTTTACTATAATAAAACCATGGTTCTTTTTCTGTAAAGAAGAATCAAAATGAAATTAATACTGAAATAAACTTAAATAAATTAAGAAATATACATATACATTAATATTCGTATTTCTGGTCTCTGAAATGAATCTCTAAATTGATTAAAAGTTGTGGTAATAAACTAAATATATGCTGCTTTTTTAAACTTTTATATTATTAATAATCAAATAATCTTTAATAATTGACTTTTTACTTAAGTATTTTGTTTTTATGCACTGATAAATTGCATTAAATTAAGCTGGTTTTTTGTGCTGAACATTCATGTTGCTGTGAACTGCTCATTTAGAGAAATACTGAATATTAGTAATGTGCAAATTTGAGTTCATGCGATGCAAATGTGCCTCATGCATCCAGTTGAACTTCAGCATGCTTGACTGTATTCATTATGAAACATTTACAGTCAAGTATACAGTCAGAATAAATCGACGATGCCACGCTTTGCTGAAATGCCTTTGTTTCTGCGACGTGTTTGTATTTACTCGGGTTTAATAGTACGGCTTTTTAAAATGTTGTCCATTAGTGTATGTGAAACTCAGACTGTCTGCATGCTGCTGGCAGAGCGTTTAATGTGGACTGCAAATGCATGAAATCAACACTCAACAAACTGCAGCGTTTAGGTGTGTATTATGAGGTAGATCTGGACAAAACTCATCAATATCAGATGATCAGACGTGTGTGTGTGTATTTATAATCCCAGTGTTTGTGCGTGTTTCAGGCTTGTATCTTGGCTTTACATCCTGAAAGATTGTGAACTGTAAACTCACCAAAACCAGAGTTTTTAGGAGAATGTGGATTTAATTATCAGTGGTTCTCAACTGGATTAAACAAAAGCTTGATTATTCTTTTAGGATTTGGAATTGACATCTGATTTAGACTCAGAATTGCCCTATAATATTGGAGGATGAAATAATATATACTTCTTGTTAAAGTAATGTTTGGAATAATTCTCATGTTTAAATGTTGTTGTTTTATTTTTTAAATCATTAATAGTAGTAATATTAAGGGATAAAATAATATTATACACTTCCTTTCCAAAGTTTCTAATAATTAATGGTTTTAAATGGTTTTGAAATTGGATTTTTATCTTTAAAAATTGTTAATAATGATCAAATTAAAAGCTGAAAGGATATTAAACAATTACAGTCAAAATTGGAATAATTAAAAATGTTAAAGGATTTTGAAATTAGTCTTTTCTCTTTTAAAAATGAATAATAATAACTGATTAATGAAATTAAAATATTCAGATTATTTCTTTAAATTGCATGAATAAATTAGGATTTAAAACATTGAAATAGTTAATAATGCTGAAAATATATTAAACACATCCAGTTAATTGTTTGGAATAATTAGGATTATTAAAAGTTTTTGCAAAGTCTTTTATCTTTTAAAAATGATTTATAATAACTATTCAATGAAATTACAATATTCAAATTATTTCTGAAGGATCACATGACTGAAGTGTAACAATGATGTAATTTTGGCTTTAAAATTACATAATAAATTAGGATAAAGCATACATAGAATCAGTTGTCTTTAATTGTAATAACACTTCAGCTATTTTTCTTGTATTTTGTAATTTTTTTTAATGCAACCTTGTTTAGCATACAAGATAATAAAAGAAAACATTTAAAAAATAATAATATTCCAATCAGTTCACTGGTAGTGTAATCTAACTAACACAACACAAGTCCCAAACAAAATCAATCAAATCAACCTATTTCTTTTTATAAATATTAATATTATGAACATAAAAATAACTAAGAATTATGTTTATTCAGCTCATTTTAAAAAGTAGTTTGAACAGCCAAAATAGTTTTTATTATTATGTTTGCCCTAAATATAAATAACAGACTTAATATGAAAACACGAGGAAATGTTATTTATGAATGCAAACCTGTGGATTGTATTTTCGTCTACCTGATGTATATTAATGTAAAAAAATGCCAGTATCACACATTTTATTTGTGCTCTACTTTGACTCCCTTCTTCAAGATGACAGATATATTTGTCCTGAAATGGTGTAGAATATGATCAAAACATGCCTTTGACTGTATGAGATTTTAATTGCATTTTAATTCTTGAGAGTCCAGTTGAGAACCGCTGCGTCAGACTGTTGCAGCACTTCTCTGAGGGCTATATAGTGCGTTTTTACAACCGGAAAAATCCCAAAATATTAACAAAAACATATTTCAAACATGCTAAAGGTGCTAGAGATCTTTGAAGATGTGACGCCTGTGTTGGTGAATTTCAATAATGGTATTTAAATACGGTCGTCATCTCTACAATGTGTGTGTGTGTGTGTACAAACAAACCCAGGCTCATTCTGATTATGTACTCCTATATACATTTCTGGAGAGTGCCAAAAACATCCAGGGAGCTACGTTCTTCTGCAGTTTTTGTTTTCGTGAGTCCACCAGAGGCAGCTGTGTACGCTTTTTCATATCTCAAATTTCTCTCGTGAGTGCCATTCGCACCTGCTGTTCTCACGTAAATGCACCAGAGGCTGCTGTCGACTGACCCGCCCTCCTCCTTCCCTAAACCCAACCATTAGTGTTTTTAAAAGCACCCAGAGAAACAAAAGCCTGACTTTTACTACGTTTTCAGATTTTACCACATTTTCACCCTGTTATTTCCTTCTTTATTTTTTGGCTTCTGTTTTTGTCTTACCTGCTTTCTGGAACCGTTCTTTGCCAAACTCGAACCCCATTGTCACAATCAACTTTGCTCCACGCCACAAATCCTCCAACGTACGCGGCAAGCCACTGGACAAACTGATAACAGCAGTAAAGCCGTCCACACGAAGGTAAGCGGTCAGCTGTTAGCGCAAAAGGGAACGACGTCACACCGCCCTGTAGCGTTTGTTTTAAAGATGAAATGCAGCCATACACACCTCTGGCTACATATTTCACAATCTCCAGAAATGTATATAGGGCTACGCACTCAGAATGAGCCTATATTGGTAAAAACTGTTATCAATTTTAGGAAATGTACAGTTTCTGCAGTGTTTAATTTAATGCATGTGCTCAATGATCACTGTGCAACGGCTCACTGTGCCGCAATGGCTTTATTTCATTTCCCTGATCAACAAATCCAATCGCGAGGCTCAGTTTTATCTGTGTTTTTTATGCGCTGTACAGTTCACGAATGGTATTTATAATTTATCCTGAGTCTTTCATGTCGGGTCAGAAAGTGTGTGTATTGTGAGACAGATATTAGTTTGTTTTAATGATGCATTTCTACAGAATTATATATTATTATTTACTTGTGATCATCCAGAAGATTTTTCTCCCCTCAATATTTACGTTCCACTTAAATCAACGGCTTAATTTAGGAAAATAAAATACACATCTCTTCATGTAACATCATCTCTGTTTGACTACAGAACATTAATTGAGTTCATTTGCATAATAAGCTAACTCGTTAATAAAATAAACCCTTCATTTATTTAAATAAATCATGCTTTTTTTAGATAGAAAATTAACAAAAATGGCTTGTCGGACTGTGCAAATGAACTCCTGATGTCATATTTTTACACTAAAGCAGCAATTGAATAAAGCTGCTGGACAAAAATGTGTATTTATTGCAAATCAGATCACATTTTATCCAATCCAAAGCGCAAACTGTAGCTTTAAATCATTAAATAGATCATAACTGGTGGCTTTAGTTGATGCTCTTTGTTATTTGATGTTCGTCAAGAGGCTAAAATGAAGGACCTCATTAAGAGCGTCGCCATGGATACGGATTATTAATATTCGGAGGAGGCTAAAAGCTTTGAAGGGTTGTCATCTCGCAGGATTGGTAATTATGGTAATTGTGACTGAATGCATTAGCATATGTTCAACTGTACCGAAGCCCATTTCTGCCACATAAGAGGAAAACACTTAAGACTATAAGATATATGTCAAAAGGGGCTTTAGGTATTAATACATTTGAGGTAAATTTAAGATGCAAATTCAGAATTATTAGCATATTCGCCTCACAGCAAGAAGGTCGCTGGTTCAAGTCCCAGCTGGGCCAGTTGACGTTTCTCTGTGGAGTTTGCATGTTCTCCCCGGGTTGCCGTTGGTTTCCTCTGGTTTCCCCCACAGTCAAACACATGCACTATAGGGAAATTGAATAAGCGAAATTGGCCGAAGTGTATGAAGAGAGAGAGTGTATAGGTTTTTTCCAGTACTGGGTTGCGACTGGAAGAGCATTTGCTGCATAAAACATATGCTGAAATAGTTGGTGGTTCATTCTGCAGTGGCGACCTCTGATAAATAAAGGAACTAAGCCGAAGGAAAATGAAACAAGTTAAAATTGCTGATAATTTATGACATTATTCATTAGAACAAATAAATCATTATTTTGATATTTCATTTATGACTTATAGAGAATTACAATTAAAACGTCACAATTTTTACACAAAAATGTTAATATTTATATACCGTAATAATTGAATAAATGTCTATTTTATCTTCTGATAGTCTAATAATATTGATTCATGTAATATGTATAATTTTTTACCTCATAATACAGTCTTAGTGTCTGAAATGTAATGCAATTGTGTCATTGTGTGATAATTGTCATTAAGTCATGATTAAGACTTTAATAACTTTGATACTATTATTATTGTTATTATTATATTTTGCAATATTTATGTTGTTGGAAGTACATAAAGTTTTTTTACATCATTATTTATATTTGACATGTCAGTATTTTTGGTATTTTGACTTTCTTTTGTCATAATTATAACACAAAGTCATTCATTCATTCATTTTCCTTCGGCTTAGTCCCTTTATTCATCAAGAGTCACCACAGCGGAATGAACCGCCAACTATTCTTGCAT